CATCCATCCATCCATCCATCTATCTATCTATATATCTATAAATCATTAGGTGATGGTGTCTCATGTAAGGCCTAAAACACCCAATGACCCGTGGTACACACTGAAGATGTGTCCAGTTTGCATCATAAGGTGTATCTCAGTACCAGTTAAATTAGATAAATGCAACTAACAAAAAACGTTTTTCACTAAGTGCATTTTGTTGATCTTTTGCATCTTTTCTTCTACTCAAAAAAGTAGACAAAGCAGGTGAAAAGATGACATACGAATGCATTAAATACAACAAATTTACCGCATATTTGAAAAAACAAACAAACAAACAAACTGCGATTGTATCGTTGCTAAAGGTTTTGTCTGTCGTCTTTTAGGATTTAATCCTTTGTGGAATGAAAACTTTCAATTTGACGTGCGCGTGCCTGATCTGGCGCTGGTGCGCTTTCTCGTGGAGGACCATGACACCATATCTGACAATGAGTTCATCGGACAGTTCACACTTCCATTTAACAGCTTACAAATGGGTGAGTAGTAGAATATGGTGTTGATCGGACGCAGAGGCCTAAATCTTTGCGACTTTATTCTGTTAGTATCGGAGTCTAAACCTACGAGCCATTGTTTCGAAACATTGCCAGATTATCCTTCAATGAAAACAGTAAAGGGATATGACTGGATTCGTTTTGAACGAAGCTAATTAGTAAAACCGAAGTACATTTTTTTTTCAGTGTCCCACTACGGCCCGATACCAAATGACCTACGAACTGGCATCGGTCCCCAGACTGGGGATCGGGCAGCCTTGCTCAATATTACAATAATACCTTGAGATATAGATAACTAATAATACCGACATACTGTACGAGTATTCCGAGATACGAGCAAGCCTTCAAGCAAATTTTTAGCTTCGAGATACGAGTAAAGATTTTGAGGTACGAGCACGCTTACAGACGTTGATGCTAGGTGGCCGAGCACTCTATCGCGTATGCCGTAATGCGTAAATATTTGAGGTGAAAAAATACTGCACATTAACGTCATGTTTTCAGTTTACGACGGAAGACTATATTTTATTGTCCTTAACCCATTTTAAGTGTACAGTAAGAACTGTGTGTAAGCCGAACTCTTTGTCTCGTTATCTGACGCAGGATACAGACACGTGCCTCTGCTGGACAAAAACGGTGACCGTTTCCCCTCAGCTACGCTCTTTGTACACATTATGATCCTGGATTCTAAGTGAGAGACTTGCAGATCGTCTCGTTGCTCTGCGAGAAACTACGAAGCCTTGTCTTAGCTATTACTAACGAGGTTTTTTTTGTTTGTAAATTTGTGTTACGTTGTCCATCGATTCGGTCAGTTTGTTTGACATCAAACTGATTTAGGACTAACATTTGTCATCAAAGTTATTAAAGTTCTACTTTAAGAAAAGATCAAACCTTCTTAGTTTTCTTTTTTTTAATTAATTAATTAAAGTTAAGATTTAAAACCAGCTGTAATTATATACTGTATCTTCCGGACTATAAGTCGCACTTTTTTTTTTTGCTGGGTTGACGACTTATACCCAGGTGTAACTTTTCATTTCAAAATATATCATTTCACATTTTTTTTTAATCACACTGAAAGCCGCTAGAGGGCACGCTAGCTTGCTGGTGCGACTTATACTCCGAGCGACTTATAGCCTGGGAAAATACGGTAATTTAATGGCAAAAAATGAAATGAAGCTTCTTCACAGTGGCAAAATGAAGATGGGTTCGATGATCTTTCCGTATTGAATTTGCCTGTTCTCCCGACGTTTGTGTGATTTAGCATAGAACTATTATGCTACGGTCTTTGCCAGGTACCCCTTGCAAAAGAGTTTCTGAACATCAATGAAATTATTCATGGTTAAATAATAATAATAAATAAAAAAAAACATCGAACAATTTCTGTATAATCATGTGCTTTATTGGGACATGTCTAAAGAACATTAAGTCAGAACAGAGTAGACATTTTTTTGGAGTGTTTGATAGCGAACTGGCAAAAAAAACAACAAAAAAAACCTTGAAGATCTCACTCTCGTCATCTTTGGCATTGTATCGTAAAACAGACATGAGCAAATTGTTACAACAAAGCGTTACGAGAAAGCAAAGAAAGGAACACGTGATGCCTCAGGATAACAAGGACACAATGCCAACGTCAACTTAAGCAAACAAGAAACAAAAAAAGGCCCGAACACCGCAGATAAAACCGCAGTAACTTGCTGGTGTTAAATCAATAGAAAAAAAGGGCTGAATGTGAAATGATACATGAAGAACGTGAATGGAAAAAAAAAAAAGAAGAAGCAACGGGATTGGGAATTTCTTACTTAAGGAAAGAAATGTGATACAAAAAAGAAAATACAAAAAGAAGGCATTATGTAAGACGTGCATTTATTTGAACCAAAACCTGATGAAAATAGATAGGATGCAGATATAAAAATATTACAATTTTTGCTTCAAGGTTGCACAAAAGGCATACAAGACGGATGGAATAACAGACCTTCGTCACGCATTGTTGCTTCGTCTTGTTTTCGCAATAAACCATAGCTGGTCCATATATACGTGGCCCGATGAGTTTGACACTTGGTATGAAAATACTAATGATGCTAAAAAACCTCCAAGAAACAACAAAGGAAGGCAGTAAGGCATTAATACCAGGTTCTTCTGAGTTCACAGGTGATTGACGAGCTAACAGTTTTATTCTAAGAACTAAACCTGAACGTGTGAAGGGGCCGTCCATGACTCAGCAGCCATCTGTGGCTTAGGAAGGCTTTCCTTTTTTTTTTTTTTTTTTTAATTCTCCACCTTCACAACAGTCTGTAAATGTAAATGACCCAATGTCACAAAGATGTGATAAACTGCTGCTGAAATGAGGTGGAGCAAAAACATTTTTCAATACTAAGTACCAGAGGCGGGACCAAGTCCTTGCTTTGCAAGTCACAAGTAAGTCTCAAGTCTTTGCACTCAAGTCCGAGTCAAGTCTCGAGTCAAGACAGGCTAAGTCCGAGTCGAGTCCAAGTCAAGTCCCAAGTCCTGCCGTTTCTGTTTCAAGTCCTTTCTAGTCCTTTTCAAACAAAATAACAATATATTTACACAGATCACTATGGGTTTCGGAGAAAGCATCGAGTTTTGTCGAGTCAAAGGGGCTCGAGTCCAAGTGAAGTCACGAGTCACTGATGTTAAAGTCCAAGTCGAGTGGCAAGTCTCTTTACATTTTGTCAAGTCGAGTCTAAAGTCATCAAATTGATGACTCGAGTCTGACTCGAGTCCAAGTCACGCGACTCGAGTCCACGCCTCTGCTAAGTACAATTATTCTATTCAGACCAAAACAAATACTGGTCCAGTTCTGATGCTAGACCACATTAGCCAACACGCGCCGATACGAGTCAATGTGTATCAGCTCGTGTCGGTTAACGTGACCTAGCATCAGATTGGCATTGGAAATATTTATCATCCAGTGGACTATCCTAAATT